ATCTTCCCGCTCAAAATCCATGTTGGCCTTGGTTATGAAGGTCATTGGTCTCCATGAAATTGGTGACCTGACACCTAATCACTCTCTCGAATACTTTTATTATGTGCAACGTTAACCCTTACACTGCTCAGGGGTCATATGGACATTTACACCCCTGTGCGCAAGAAAAAAAAATTCAAAAATTTTTTTTCGTCTTCTAAACATGTTAATTTGAGTCTCCTGAGCACGGGAAAAATAATAAAAAAATTCTATTATACATACCAATGACACAATTGAGCCGAGAAGTTGGCCGATGACGTCACAGAACGTGAGCGCTCAAGGGTGCTGCGTCAGCCAGCTGTCACTCACGGCCGCTCACGCGGCCCGAGTTGCTGCGAATTTATTTTCGCGGAATTATTTACAGTATTCTTGGGTCTTTTTACTCAAATTTGTTTCGCTAGTATTGTTCCAATTATTAGCAATAGACGTTGTATTATAATAAAAATGGTATAAACTCACTAGGCGCTCACATATTAGTGTCACAAGTATGCCCACCAAAATGGTATAATTTACAGGAAATATTCAATGTATTTGGGGTTTTTTCAATATAAACACAAAAATAAACTTGATATGTACATTTAATTACCAAAGAATTACACATTTAGTACTCCAGGAGACTGTGATACTGTGCGAAACAGTCGATATGGCACAGAGGGACGGCACACGCTTCGCACCATGTCAACACCAATTTACGTTTCTGTGGCCTCAATTTGGTACTGGAACACACAACATACCGACGCTGGCCTGCTGCACGAGCTCCAGTTGGTGGTAATTTCTTGATTTGATGTATCAGAAAGGCCTCCCTGTAAGCGAGCCTGGGTGCAGGAGCATGGTTTTCAGTATTGGGTCTCGAATGGATCTTTGTATACCAGGTGTGTCCTTGCCAAATTTACCTAGCAACTGTTTCACAACTTGAAAACTGAACGAACGGAAATATGGTTTTCTACCTGTCTTCACAAGAAACATATTGTAACTGTTCAGCATTGTTACATCAATAAGGTGAAAAATCATTTTCTTTGTCCACTTCACTGTTTTACGTACACACTCTACAGCACCCACCATCATGTCACATTTATCAACTAAATGCATGTTGATGTTGTAGTCCATCACACAATCTGGCTTGTATATTATTTGCTTTGTTGTTCTGTTCACCTTGCCACTGTCTACCATTGTACCAGGGTGAATGGTGGTCAACATGTTCACTTCACGTCTGTCTTTCCACCGCACTGAAAGCATTGCACCACTTTTTCTTACCTCGCAATCCCCAACTTGCATAGCAGTATCAAACACAGGCATTTCCTTTTGTTTTGGCTTTACTGTTCCACACACTCCAGTCTTATTATCCAGCAAGAATTTCGTTAGCAAGGGACTGGTATAATAGTTGTGTACAATATGTGGCCCTTGTTCAGATATGGTGCAAGCAGTGACTTCACCACACTACCTGAGAAGCCATGTTCGTCATTAGCAGGAATATCTACATTTGTGGCTGAATAAAGTATCATGTGTAACACCATTCCTGATTCACAGTCACAGAGCACAAAGAATTTCAGTCCAAATCGGTGACGTTTTGAGGGAATATACTGCTTGAAGGCAGCACGTCCTTTGAAAAGCACCAGGGATTCATCAATAACCAGCTTCTGAGCTGGTACGTAGTAATCTCGGAACTTTCCAATCAGGTCATTTAGCACGTGCCTCACCCTCCAAAGCCTATCATCCTGTGTCTTGTCAGCATTATTTGCAAAATGAATGCACCGTAGGATCAACAGAAATCTGTCTCGGGACATATATTTCCCGAACAATGGTGTTGGAACAGAGTTGTCTTTGCTCCAATAATCTGAAATTACGTGTTTCACACAATGTTTCATCAACATGCAAATTGCGAAAAACACATAACATTTCATCGACAGTTGTCTCTTTCCAACGCTGTAGTCGCGAAAATTCTGAAACTTCCTCACCTTCGATGAGATCAGCCGCAAGTCTGTTCGTTTCGTGAACAATGTGTTTCATTAGCGGCTCATCGAAATATGCAGTAAAGAAGTCCATTTCACACATTTCGTCACCAGTATCAGGGAAAAGATCAGTAATTCCCACATCTCTGTTATCAAAGTCGGGAATTTGTGGAACAAAATCTTCCCCATCACTCCACACAAACCTGCTGCCTTCCGAGAGCCATTAGCTGCACCACGGCGAGGAATCCGGGGACCAGGAGCTGAAGCAGGCATTGTAACAGTAGAGGCAGGAACGGTAGATGAGGAAAAAGATGTGGAACATGAGGGAATTTGTTCCTCATTGTCGCCATATTGTCCCATGCGGCGGCGCTCGGCTGGGCGGGCAGCTGATGCGGCGAAACTTGTACTGGCACTAGCAGCTGGGGTAAAACTATTCTCCGACTCTTCATCACTAAAGCCTGAGAAAGATTCGCTTGTTTCAGACTCGTTAATCGTATCATAAACGTGCAGTGGTATAGATGAACAACGTGCTTGGGCGCGAGGTGGTGTTGAGTGGTGTTGAGTAGTAGCCTCGTGAGGCATCCTCACCCTCGTGGCACCCACATGTTCACCCTCACTATCCGTTGTTTCGATTTCTTCTGGCGAGTCTTCTTCGAGTCTTTCTTCTTTCGAGAGTCTTTGCCTCTCGCTCTTTTCTTTCTCCAATCCGTGCCCCGTTGCTTTGGGGGTGTTCTGGAGTGCCGCTGTGGGGAAGTCACGAGGTTTTTCCCTGCATTTTAGGGTGGGTAGCCTCCTTCGCCGCTCCCCTCCTCCTCCTCCGGCATGGGCGCCCTGGCCGCCTCCGGCGGCTACGTTCTCATAGGCTTGCATCATGGCCCTTCAGCGCCTATGTTCTGCAGGTGAGTTGGTGCGGTCTGGCGTCTCTTTCGTCCTGACACTGTTTTTGTTTTTGTAAGTAGGAATGGATGTACATACCTACCTGAGAACGTGGACCATACCAACCGAGGTGCCTACTGCAGGGCTATTGACCCATACAGGGCAGCTCTTGTTCTCACCACCTGATTCCTTCCTAGGTTCACGGGTGACTGCGGGTGGCCCTTCCGAGGCGGCTCCTGCCTGTACTCATCCTGCCCCTCTCCTATGCTTGTCTAACCTTGCTTCAGTTCGGGGCCCTGCCTCCACCTTGTTCCACAGTGCAACGGTGGGGGTGCCTGTTCGGTGGTACGTTTTCCTGTGTCGAGGGTGTTTTGTGCTCGCCTCCTTGTGCTTGCAGGATTGGGTTCTGGCTCTTTGGTTCCGCCTCTCCCCTGTTGTTCACCTCACGAGCGGATTCTGTGCTTCATAGGCGCTCTCGTCTCTGCTCTTGAGGCTGTGTATGGGGTCAGCCCAAGTTGGGCTGCCTAATGTGTTCCTTCGATTGCCTGTTACACTGCACACGTTTCTTCTACCGTCCTTGTGGCTCGGTTGGGTACTCGGTTTCCGCCTGTGTCCCCTTGTGTGCCACTCGTGTTACGATTATCTTTATCTTCCCTGTCGCTTCCTCGGGGAGTGTGGTGACGTTTTGCTGGGGTTTTGGTACTGCGGCTGCGTGTAGGGGTGGGTTGTGGCATTTTGTTCAGCCCTTCCGTGCTCCCTCTGGGGCCCTCCTTCCTTGCCGGTCTTGCTGTGCCGGGCCTGGTTTTTCCATGTTCCTTGGATTCTCTGTCCTGTCCTCGTTGTCCTTGCCTCAATGTGCTGGCTGGGGATGAGCTTGGAGTCTTCGTCTCGCCCCTCGCCTATCCTCCGGTTTCGGTTCAAGTTCCAGAGCCCAGTGGGCTCCCTTCCTTAGTGTTTTTCACGACTGCCCCCGGGGTTTTTCTTGACGCTGGGGCTTTGGGGGGACAGCTCTTCCCCGGGGCCTGCAGGGTGGGTTCCCGGGGCTGGGGTGGGGCTAACGTGGGGGGGGGATCTCAGGCCCCGTTGGTCTCCGCCGGGGTTTTTCTACCCTTCTGGGCGGGGCTTGCGGTTTTGTGGAGTGGGGTTTTTCCGTTCCCCCTCTCCACACGTGCTTTTTGGGCATCGGCCCCTCCCTGGGCTCGGTTTCCTTGTCCATTATGCCCGTTGCTTCCGTCCTGTCGGTGGGTGCTTTTCTGGGGTCTTTGCCCCTTTTTTCCGGGACGGGCCTTCTCCGTCATGTCCCCCTCTTCTTGGGGTTCTGCATGACTTTTGGTCTCAGGTGCGACGGGGTTTTTGTGCCTTCGTCCTTTGTGTTCTTTTGTTCATATCTCTTCTCTTAGCACTGTCTCGGCGCTGCTCGTTTTCCTGGGGGCGATTTTGCTCCTCTTAACTAGTGTCTTTTCGCTCCTGCCCTTCTGCGGGATTTTGGTGCGGGGCGGCTCCTTGTGCGGGTTCCTTCCCTGAGGGGGCTAGGTTCTGGCTCGTGGTCTCCGGTAGGCCTAGAACTCCACACACATCGACTGATGCAAAATAGTTAGGGTATCCATATCAGCTATGGATAGCTCCGGGGAGCCTCCGGGACTCGCCCAGAAAATGGCGTTTCATTACATTCAACACTGTTTTTTTTTTTTTTTTAAAGTTGACTCGTATATGCTGTAAGCCTAACTTTATTATTTTACTTATAATAGACAAATTCTATAGACTAGCTGTTAATGAGTACCTTATTATTTGGGAAGACTACACACGTGTTTAATGAAACAAAATTTGCGCAAAATCAGTAACACATTACACTTTAGCTGTTGTCTTGTATTGCTATGTGTTATAATTTACTGTCATTATGGTGGATTGGGTACATTTGGTTTTAGATTAATTTTGATTGTTCTGGGCTAATAAGTCACCCTGCATGTCATGCAACTTAACATGTAAGTTTGTTCCTCTATAGTAAGGTCACATCAGGCAACCTGGCCAGAAACCAAGTTAGAAACTGAAATAGCTGCCCACACTATTACATTACTTACAGGTTTAATATGCACCATCTTGTGTATTTGTATTATTATGCAGAAATTGTCTTTGCAGGATTAATGTCATAGTGCAGAATGTCCGAAAAACCACTTCGTGTTGGCCAGAGAGTCGAAGTCATTGGCAAAGGTAAGAAGACTTGTGTATACAGTATTGTATAACAGTTTTGAGTTTTTGTGTGTTGTAAAAATGTGAATGCAGAGGGTCATTTTATTTTCTCTGGAGTTCATAGATGAATGGTAGGTATGTTTCTTTTTATATAATAAATTGTGCATGAGATTGATGTTTGCATACTGTACAGAATATTAGTGTGAAATTCTATAATATTTTTGCACATAACAAGGCTGACATAATATTGGTGCAATTTGATGACTAGTTGATCAAGACTACTTAATTCCTAATGTAGGGGGGGGGGGGGACATGAGCATGTGCTGTACTCAGGTTTGTATTGAGGTCACCCCTAGATCGAACTACTGACCCTGCCCAGGATTTAACCCACAACAGTTGCCTAACACTTGGGCAAGGTGATTTTTATTTATTTATTTATTGTTGCATATACAAGAAGGTACATTTGAATTGTGAGGATACATAATATGGTAATTACAATCTTGTAAAGCCGGAGTACGCGCAGCGTTTCGGGCAGAAACGCTACACTTAGGTAGCGTTACAGCAAGGTGAACAAAGGCATCAGGTGAATGGAAACGTGTAAAACCGTTTCTGTCAACCAGCGGTTTGAACCCAGTACAGTGGGACTTCGACTTAACAAATTTAATCCGTCCCTAGTGACAGGTCGTAAGTCGAAAACTCATAAACTGAAGTGAATTTTCCTATAAGAAATAATGGAAATTGAATTAATCCATTCCAGACTTCCCCCAAAAATTAACTTCAAAGTAAATTTTATACCTAATTAACCTAAATCTTCAGTACAAAAGTATGTACAAGTTATTATTTACTTTTTTTTTCAGGGATATTCCTGCGCTGGCCTTAAGCCTCTGGCTGGCCCACTAAGTGTTGCTTTTTTCTGTTTTACTTGGGCGGATTTATCTCTACTGATGACTCTTGTTGGCGTATGGAAGACGGTTAGGAAGGGGTAGGAGGAGAGGTGTTAGTGTTTGGAAGGGTACTCCCCTTGTATTATAACATCAGGCATTCCTTCCATTCCTTCTCTGGGGTACATTCACTGGCACGTTTTTTTCCACATTCCACTAGGACCTGCTTGTGGCTCAATGCTTGTTTTTCTTACTAAAAACCTGTCTAGTGACACTTGTTTTTCCCTATGTTGTAACACTGGTCTGAAGTGAGACATCACATTGTCATTAAAAAGATTAACACAACGACCTGCTACTGTTTTGCTCTGGGTGAATTAATAACAACTTTTCAGCGTCCTCAAGTGTTTGTGTTAGACTTTGTTTCGTGATTGTTGATGCGCCTTTTGCCACTTTAGCACTCATAATGTCCTTTTTCTTAGCAAGTACAGTGCATATCGTTGACATTGATTTGTTGTACTGCCTAGCTAGTTCAACAACATGTGTACCATTTTTCATGTTTACGAATGATCTCTTGTTTTTCCTCTATGGTCATTCTCACATGTCATTCTTGGCTTGCACCTTACCACTGGCTTTCTTGAAACCCATGGCGAGATATATAACAACGACTTTTAGTTTAAATACCAAAAATCCGAAAAAACTGTAATTCTTTACAAAGAATTCAGGCACAATTTTCACTAAGCAGGAGGCACTGGTAAACTGAGACGCGATTGCCGTGCCACTACGCACATGGTCGGCCATATGTGTATCAACTAACTCGTTTCCTGAGGCAAAGCTCATAACCCGATTTGAACTTTCCTAAGAAATTGGGCTCGTAACCTGAAAAGTTCGTAAATAGGGACATTCGTAAGCCGAGGTGTCACTGTAATATCATTATGGCAACTCCTGCCTGTCAGCGTGGGTGGAGCAGACTGCCACAGGATGCTTACTCTGTCAATGCCTCAATTTTGCCAGACTTCCTCGCCCTATTGCGGCCAAAATATGTCGCCTACGATTTTTTGTTTATTTTTCCCATGGTTGGTCAGGGAAAATAAATGAACACTTCTATAAGACAACAGTTTTATTTTAATTTTTTTTTAATTTTTTGCGCACAGAGGTGTTGATGGCTATTAAGGCTGTAGCAGCTTAAAGGTTAAACAATGCCTGCGCCACCTCTGTGCCTCCCAACCTACAGAGACCTTACGCTCCCTGACCGCCACTCACTCATAGGGTTAATGTGAGACAGTCGTGTCCATCCCTGTGATACACAAAGGAGTGACACGTGCCACTTTCCCAGCGGTAGTACTCCATACAAGTCTACACCAGTAAATATAGACTCTCACATATGCTGATACCCACATAAATATTATTATCCATTACATGATACCCACCAATCTTGGAGTATGCAGCTCCAGCATGGAGTCCATATCTAGTCAAGCAGAAGACTAAACTGGAGAAGGTTCAAAGGTTTGCCACCAGACTAGTACCCGAGCTGAGAGGTATGAGCTACGAGGAGAGACTACGGGAGTTAAACCTCACATCGCTGGAAATCAGAAGAGTTAGGGGGGACATGATCACCACATACAAGATTCTCAAAGGAATTGATAGGGTAGATAAGGACATGCTATTTAACCCAAGGTGCACACGCACTAGGGGACTCGGGTGGAAATTGAGTGCCCAAATGAGCCAAATAGATATTAAAAAGAACTTTTTTAGTGTCAGAGTGGTTGACAAATGGAATGCATTGGGAAGTGATGTGGTGGAGGCTGACTCCATACACAGTTTCAAGTGTAGATATGATAAAGCCCAGTAGGCTCAGGACCCTGTACACCAGTTGAGAGGCGGGACCAAAGAGCCAGAGCTCTACCCCTGCAAGTACAAATTGGAAGTACAAATAGGTGAGTACATGACGTTCAAAGAACCACCACACCCATAACTACTCCTGATACCCACTACACCCACAACCACTCCTAACCCCGAGCACACCCACAATACCCACAACCACTCCTGGCACCCACCACACCCACAATACCCACAACCACTCCTGGCACCCACCACACCCACAATACCCACAACCACTCCTAGCACCCACCACACCCACAATACCCACAACCACTCCTGACACCCACCACACCCACAACTACTCCTGATACCCACTACACCCACAACCACTCCTGACAACCACCACACCCACAACCACTCCTGACACCCACAACACCCACAACCACTCCTGACACCCATCACACCCACAACCACTCCTGACACCCACCACACCCACACCACTCCTAACCCAGAGCACACCCACACCACTCCTAACCCCGAGCACACCCACACCCACTGCTGACACCCACCACACCCACTCCAGACACCCATCAAACCCACTCCAGACACCCACACCCACTCCTGACACACACTGTAATGACCCTTTCTACCTCCTCTCTACTCTTTCCCTTCACTCAATACCCCAGCTTAATCCTTAAGCTGGGGTAAAAAAATGGGGCCTATAAAAAATTATAAGCCAGTTGCACTAACATCACACATAATAAAAGTGTTTGAAAGAGTGATTAGGAATCAAATTTCTAGTTTTGTGGAAAACAATGAATTGCACAATCCAGGACAACATGGATTTAGAGCGGGAAGATCCTGTCTGTCACAGTTACTCAACCACTATGACAAAATCACAGAAGCTCTAGAAGAAAAGCAAAATGCAGATGATGTATACACAGACTTTGCAAAGGCGTTCGACAAATGTGACCATGGGGTGATAGCTCACAAAATGAGGTCAATGGAAATAATTGGAAAAGTAGGACGCTGGATACTCAATTTCCTGTCGAACAGAACACAAAGAGTAACAGTCAATCAGATAAAATCGAGTCCAAGCGATGTTAAAAGCTCTGTACCTCAAGGTACAGTCCTTGCACCGCTACTGTTCCTTATTCTCATATCTGATATAGACAAAAATACACGTCACAGCTTCGTGTCGTCCTTTGCAGATGACACAAAAATCAGCATGAAAATTACCTCTGCTGAAGACATTGAAAAACTACAAGCAGATGTCAACAAAGTTTTCGATTGGGCAGCAGAAAATAACATGATGTTTAACAGTGATAAATTTCAGGTACTCAGGTACGGCAAAAATGAGGATCTGAAACATAATACAGGGTACAAAACACAATTGAATCTTCCCATAGTAGAAAAACAGTATGTCAAGGATTTAGGAATAATGATGTCCGACGATCTAACGTTTAGGGAGCATAACCAAGCAAATATCGCGTCAGCCAGAAAAATGATCGGATGGATTATGAGAACTTTCAAATCCAGGGATCCCATCACAATGGTTGTACTCTTCAAGTCACTTGTGTTGTCCCGTCTCGAGTACTGTTCAGTACTCACTTCCCCCTTCAGAGCAGGAGAGATTGCTGAAATAGAGGGAATACAGAGAACATATACGGCACGCATAGACGAGATAAAACACCTAAATTATTGGGATCGTCTCAAAGCTCTCCAAATGTACTCTCTAGAAAGGAGACGAGAGAGATACCAAATAATATACACATGGAAAATACTGGAGGGCCAGGTCCCTAATCTACACAGTAAAATAACAACGTACTGGAGTGAACGATATGGAAGAAAATGCAAGATTGAACCAGTGAAGAGCAGAGGTGCCATAGGCACAGTCAGAGAGCACTGTATAAACATCAGAGGTCCTCGGTTGTTTAACGTCCTCCCAGCGACTATAAGAAATATTGCCGGAACAACCGTGGACATCTTCAAGAGAAAACTGGACTGTTTTCTAAGAGAAGTTCCGGATCAGCCGGGCTATGGAGGGTATGTGACTCTGCGGCCCACTCCAAGCAACAGCCCGGTGGACCAAACTCACAAGTCGAGCCTGGCCTCGGGCCGGGCTTGGGGAGTAGAAGAACTCCCAGAACCCCATCAAGCAGGTATCAAGCAGGTAAGCTGCTAAGGGGTCTTGAGGAGATTTTCACCCCTGTGCACAAGAAAAAAAAATTTGAAAAAATTATTTCATCTTCTAAAAATGCTAATTGGTGTTCCCTGAGCACGGGGAAAAAAAATCGTAGGTGACATATTTTGGGCACAATA